TTTGGGGGCACCTGGGTTGGGTTTGGGATCACCTGGGCCAGTTTGGGGGCACCTGGGTTGGGTTTGGGGTCACCTGGGGTGGGTTTGGGGTCACCTGGGTTGGGTTTGGGATCACCTGGGCTGGGTTGGGGGCACCTGGGTTGGGTTTGGGGTCACCTGGGTTGGGTTTGGGGGCACCTGGGTTGGGTTTGGGATCACCTGGGCCAGTTTGGGGGCACCTGGGTTGGGTTTGGGGTCACCTGGGGTGGGTTTGGGGTCACCTGGGTTGGGTTTGGGATCACCTGGGCTGGGTTGGGGGCACCTGGGTTGGGTTTGGGGTCACCTGGGTGGGTTTGGGGTCACCTGGGCTGGGTTGGGAATCACCTGGATGGGTTTGGGGTCACCTGGGTTGGGTTTGGGGGCACCTGGGGTGGGTTTGGGGGCACCTGGGCTGGGTTGGGAATCACCTGGATGGGTTTGGGGTCACTGAACTGAATTGGGGCTCACCTGGGCCGCTTTGGGGGTACCTGGGGTGGGTGTGGGGTCACCTGGGTTGGGTTTGAGGTCACCTGGATGGGTTTGGGGTCACCTGGGCCAGTTTGGGGGTCACCTGGGCCAGTTTGGGGTCACCTAGGTTGGGTTGGGACTCACCTGGATGGGTTTGGAGGCACCTGCGTGGGTTTGGGATCACTTGGGTGAATGCATTTGGGGTCTCACCTGTGGGTTTTTGCATCTCACCTGTGATACTGAGCTTTCACCTGTGGGGTTGGGCTCTCACCTGTGGGTTTTGGGCTCTCACCTGTGGGGTTGGGCTCTCACCTGTGGCTCTGGGCTCCAGGGCAGTTTTTCGTGATGATGTCACCACAGGAGGTGCTCCCGGGGGGGGCCCAGCGCTCCATCGCCCCCCGCGCACACCCCTACTCCCCGTGAGTACCTGGGCACACCTGGGGCACACCCAGACACACCTGGGATACACCCAGACACATCTGGGGCACACCCGGGCACACCTGGGATACACCCAGACACACCTGGGCACACCTGGGGCATGCCCAGACACACCTGGGGCACGCCCAGACACACCTGGGGCACACCTGGGGCACGCCCAGACACATCTGGGCACACCTGGGGCACACCCAGGTCACACTGGGACACACTCAGACACACCCGTGTCACACCTGGGGCACACCTGGACACACCCAAACACACCTGTGCCCACCTGTGCCCCTCCCCAGGAAGTCGGAGGCTCCCCGAGCCACGCGGGACGAGAAGCGCCGGGCACAGCACAACGAAGGTACCGGGACAGCCGGGACCCCAAAGGGACACCCTGATCCCAAAGGGACACCCCCATTCCTGAGGGACACCCCGGCCCCAAAGGGGCACCCCCATTCCTGAGGGACACCCTGACCCCAAAGGGACACCCCCATCCTAAAGGGACACCCCAATCCCAAAGGGACACCCTGATCCTAAAGGGACACCCCGACCCCAAAGGGACACCCCGATCCTAAAGGGACACCCCGGCCCCAAAGGGACACCCCAATCCTGAGGGACACCCCGACCCCAAAGGGACACCCTGATCCTAAAGGGACACCCCGACCCCAAAGGGGCACCCCCATTCCTGAGGGGCCATCCCAATCCCAAAGGCTCATCCCGATCCCAAAGGCTCATCCTGGGGACCACCCCAATTCCCGTGGGCCACCCGAATTCCCATTCCCCATTCCCACTGGGAACCCACGTGGCCCCATTCCCCATTCCCATTCCCACTGGGAATCCTGTTCCCATTGCCCGTTCCCATTCCTGGCAGTGGAGCGCCGGCGCCGGGACAAGATCAACAACTGGATCGTGCAGCTGTCCAAGATCATCCCCGACTGCTCCATGGAGAACACCAAATCCGGACAGGTGCCAGCCCTGCCTCCCCGTGGAGCTGGGATCCGGAGCTGGGGTCCGGATCGGGATCTGGATCTGGGATCCAGATCTGGATCTGGGATCTGGGATCTGGGATCTGGATCCAGATCTGGGGTCTGGATGGGGATCTGGATCTGGTTCTGGGATCTGGATCGGGATCTGAATCTGGGATTTGGGATCTAGATGGGGATCTGGATGGGGATCTGGGATCTGGATGGGGATCTGGATCTGGTTCTGGGATCTGGATCGGGATCTGAATCTGGGATTTGGGATCTAGATGGGGATCTGGATGGGGATCTGGGATCTGGTTCTGGGATCTGGATGGGAATCTGGGATCTGGATGGGGATCTGGATCTGGTTCTGGGATCTGGATCGGGATCTGAATCTGGGATTTGGGATCTAGATGGGGATCTGGATGGGGATCTGGGATCTGGATGGGGATCTGGATGGGGATCTGGGATCTGGTTCTGGGATCTGGATGGGAATCTGGGATCTGGATGGGGATCTGGGATCTGGATCTGGATCTGGGATCCGGATGGGAATCTGGGATCTGGATGGGGATCTGGGATCTGGATCTGGATCTGGATCTGGATCTGGGATCTGGTTCTGGGATCCGGATGGGGATCTGGATGGGATCTGGGATCCGGATGGGGATCCGGATGGGGATCTGGGATCCGGATGGGGATCCGGCAGTGACCCCCAGCCCCCACGGCAGAGCAAGGGCGGGATCCTGTCCAAGGCCTGCGACTACATCCAGGAGCTGCGGCAGAGCAACCTGCGGCTGAGCGAGGAGCTGCAGGGCCTGGACCAGCTGCAGATGGACAACGAGGTGCTGCGCCAGCAGGTCAGACTGGGAGCAACTGGGAATGGGGCTGGGATGGACTGGGAATGGGACTGGGGTCATGGGAATGGGGCTGGGATGGGATTGGGGTCATTGGGATATGGGGATCTGGATGGGGATCTGGGATCTGGATGGGGATCTGGATGGGGATCTGGGATCTGGATGGGGATCTGGATGGGGATCTGGGATCTGGTTCTGGGATCTGGATGGGAATCTGGGATCTGGATGGGGATCTGGGATCTGGATCTGGATCTGGGATCCGGATGGGAATCTGGGATCTGGATGGGGATCTGGGATCTGGATCTGGATCTGGATCTGGATCTGGGATCTGGTTCTGGGATCCGGATGGGGATCTGGATGGGATCTGGGATCCGGATGGGGATCCGGCAGTGACCCCCAGCCCCCACGGCAGAGCAAGGGCGGGATCCTGTCCAAGGCCTGCGACTACATCCAGGAGCTGCGGCAGAGCAACCTGCGGCTGAGCGAGGAGCTGCAGGGCCTGGACCAGCTGCAGATGGACAACGAGGGGCTGCACCAGGTCAGACTGGGAGCACTGGGAATGGGGCTGGGATGGGATTGGGGTCATTGGGATGGGATTGGGGTCATGGGAATGGGGCTGGGATGGGATTGGGGTGATTGGAATGGCATTGGGGTCATTGGGATCAATGGACAACGAGGTGCTGTGCCAGCAGGTGAGACTGGGAGCACTGGGAGGGACTGGGATGGACTGGGAATGGGACTGGGATAGACTGGGGTCATTGGGATGGGATTGGGGTCATGGGAATGGGATTGGGGTCATTGGGATCAGTGGGATTGATGGGGCTGGACCAGCTGCAGATGGACGAGGTGCTGCACCAGCAGGTGAGACTGGGGCGACTGGGAGCTGAAGAGCAAGAACCTGCTGGTTTGGGGTACTGGGAGCACTGGGAGGGACTGGGATGGACTGGGGGAAACTGGGAATGGGGCTGGGATGGGACTGGGAATGGGGCTGGAGTCACTGGGATGGGATTGGGGTCATTGGGATGGGATTGGGGTCATGGGAATGGCATTGGGGTCATTGGGATCAATGGACAACGAGGTGCTGCGCCAGCAGGTGAGACTGGAGTGACTGGGAGGGACTGGGATGGACTGGGAATGGGGTTTGGATGGACTGGGAGCACTGGGATGGGGACTGGGTGGTATTTTGGGGCCCTGGGCGATATTTTGGGGTGTCTGAACCCCCCCAAACCACCTCGGGACAGCCCAAAATCCAGTGGAGGAGCTGAAGAACAAGAACCTGCTGGTTTGGGTTACTGGGCTGTACTGGGAGCACTGGGAGTGCCCTGGGGGATATTTTGGGGTGCAGGGTGACATTTTGGGGTGCAGGGTGACATTCTGGGGTCTCTGGGGGCTGTTTTGGGGTGCCTGACCCCCCTAAGTGCAGGTGGAGGAGCTCAAGAGCAAGAACCTGCTGGTTTGGGGTACTGGGAGCACTGGGAGTTACTGGGCTGTACTGGGAGTGCCTGGGGGATATTTTGGGGTCTCTGGGGGCTGTTTTGGGGTGCAGGGTGACATTTCGGGGTGTCTGGGGGCTGTTTTGGGGTGCCTGACCCCCCTAAGTGCAGGTGGAGCTGAAGAGCAAGAACCTGCTGGTTTGGGGTACTGGGAGCACTGGGAGCACTGGGCTGTACTGGGAGTGCCTGGGGGGATATTTTGGGGTTCAGGGTGACATTTCAGGGTCTCTGAGGGATATTTTGGGGTGTCTGGGGGCTGTTTTGGGGTGCCTGACCCCCCCAAACGCAGGTGGAGGAGCTCAAGAACAAGAACCTGCTGCTGCGGGCGCAGCTGCGCCAGCACGGGCTGGAGATCGTCATCAAAAACGACACCCACTGACCCCAAAAACCCCGAAATCCACCCCA